GTATTACTATTATTCTTACTATTACTATTACTATTACCATTACTATTAAACTTACTTGTGCTATTACTATTATTATTATTCGTATTCTTATTTCTACTATTACTATTACTAGTAATATTACTGTTGCTATTACTATTACTATTACTATTACTACTACTATTACTATTACTATTACTATTACTATGACTATTACTATTACTATTACTATTACTATTACTTGTACTATTACTATTACTATTACTATTACTATTACTATTACTATTACTATTACTATTGCTATTGCTTTCACTATTACTATTACTATTACTACTATTATTATTACTATTACTATTACTATTACTATTACTATTACTATTACTAATATTATTACTATTACTATTACTATTACTATTACTAGTACTAGTACTAGTAGTAGTACTAGTACTAGTACTAGTACTAGTACTACTACTAGTACTATTACTTTTACTTTTACCTTTGCTTTTACTTTTAACTTTTACTTTTACTTTTACTTTTACTTTTACTTTGACTTTGACTTTTGCTTTCACTTTTACTTTTACTTTTACTTTTACTTTTACTTTTACTTTTACTCTCTTACGATTACGATTACGATTATGATTGCGATTGCGATTACTATTGCTATTACTAGTGCTATTACTAGCACTGTGGAGGAAGCGTGAGCGGCCAGAGGGATCGAGAAACTTGGAAGTTTGGACGTTGAACCAGGACCCAGGACCTGAGACCCAGATCTTGGGATTCGTGTGCCGACAGCGTTGTTTTCTTCTCGTCTTCCTGTATCCTCCTCGCCCTCTTGCTCCTCCCACCAGTTCGCCCACGATAGTCATGAGAGGGTAAACTCCCAACCGGGAGCGCCAGCCCCTCGCCAGAACGCAGTGCCCGTCACAGAACGAAGAGGCTCCTCACCAGCACACGCAGGTCAGTCACCAGAACGAGGGGCCGTTTTTTTTCACCAGCGCGGCAAGGCCTGTCACCAGAACACGGGCGGTCACATGTCGGTGCGGTAACCTGGGGAGCGCGGGGGGGAAGTAGGAGGGTGGTCTTTTCCAGAACGGCCCTTCGAAGTCTTGCTCCCTGGGCCCGTTCCTCTGAGGGGTTCTGGACGGATCTGGGTGGTGGTGGTGTGATCCTGGGGGGTCTTCGGGCGTTCTGAGGGGTGTTTTTTGGAGGATTCTTCGGCGTTTTGGGGGTTCATGACGGAGTTCCAGGGGACTGTTGTTTAGTTTTCGGGGGTGCAGATGGGTGCTTTGGGGTCCTGCGGGGTCCTGAGGGGTTATGCGGAGTCTCGCTGGGTCCATGGGGGTCGTAGGAGGTCCTGGGGTGCGCTGGGGGGTTCTGGGGGGTTCTGTTGGGTTTTGCGGAGCCTTCCTAGGTCCTGGGGGTCATGGTGGGTCCTGTGGGGTTTTGGTGGTCATGCAGTGTCCTGCGGTGTCCTGCGGTGTCCTACGGTGTCCTGGGCTGTCCCAGCAGGTGGTCCTGGAGGGTCCTGGGACGTCTTGGAGCCTTGCAGGGTTTTGCGCGGCGGGGTGCCCGTTCGGGTCCGCCCGCCCGCCCGACAGCCTGCTTGCTAAGGACCACCCGATCGCTCGCGTAAAAGTCTGCCCGCCCGCCTGAAGGTCCCGCCTGCTCGACCAGCCTGTTAGGGTCCACCCGCCCGCCCGACTGGCCCGTTAGGGTCCGCCTGCCCGATCCGCCCGTTGGGGTCCGCGCAATCGCTCGCTGTAAAGCCCATCCGCCCGACCCGCCCTGTTGGGTCCGCCCGCCCGACACGCCAGTTCGGGTCTGCCAGCCCGATCGCCCGCCTGTTAGGGTCCGCCTCATCGCTCGCTTGAAATTCGTTACGCTTGCTTGAAGGTCCTGCCCGCCCGACCCGCCTGTTCAGGTCCTCCCGTCCGACCCGCCTGTTCAGGTCCGCCCGTCCGACCCGGAAGATGAAGGGGGAGGAGGAGGGGTAATGTGATGGTGGTCGTTTGGGTGAGGAGGAATAGGAAGAGGAGGCGGAGGCGGATTGTGACATTGAGCCCTCGCTTCTGCAGAATGATTATAATAGACCCTTCCCACCAGTGCCCATTGTTTTTTCTCCCAACCCTCCTGCTTTGGGTTCCCGTTTCGGATAGAGCCCTTGGGTCTTTGTATCCTTCCCGCCTCCCTTTTCCTCTCCCCTCCTACCTCCCTGCTAGCCTGCCTCCCACCTCGCCGCCCTACCTGGGGGCTCGCGGGGGGGCTGCGAACTGCGACACAGTCGCCACTCTCGAGGGCTGCTGGGGGATCCAGCACTGCGGGTGCCGAGCGCCCAACCCTCCTGCGTCGGTTCTCGCTTTGAATAGAGCACTGGGTTCGCGTCTCATTCCTTGCCAAATCCTTCCTCCTCCTCTCCCTTCCGACCTGCCTGAGAATGCCTCGCCGCCCTACCTGGGGGCTCGCTGGGGGGCTGCGAATTGCGACACAGTCGCCACTCTCGAGGGTTGCTGGGGAGGGGGAGCATTTTGGGTACGAAGTGCAGGTTCAGTAGACCTCGCCATCCCTGGGGTCTGCGAGCTGCGAACCTTCCGCCACTTTCGAGACCGGCGGGGGAGGCCAGTTTAGTTGATACCGAGCGCAGATTCGCATTAGACCTCGCCATCCCTGGGGGTGGTTGCGAACTGGGAAGCTATCTCCACTTTCGAAGGCTGCTGTGTGGCCAGCTTAGTGGGCACCGGGCGCTGCTTCAGATTAGATCTCGCTATCTCTGGGGGGCTGCGAATTGCGAAGCCGTCGCCGCTTTCGAGGGCTGCTTGGCGGGGCAGCTAAGTGGGTGACGAGCGCAGATTCACATGGGACCTCGCCATCCTTGGGGGGCCGCGAGCTGCGAACATGTCGCCACGTTCGAGGGCTGCCTGCTGGGGGGGCCAGCTTAGTGGGTACCGAGCGCAGATTCTGATTACACCTCGCCATCCTTGGGGTGGGGTGGTGGTTGTGGGGGGGGGGGTGGAGCTGCGACTTGTGAAACCGTTGCCACTTTCGCACGCTGCATGGGGGGGGCTCAGTGGATACCGAGTGCGATTCAGATTAGACGTCGTCATCCCCTGGGAGCTGCGACTTGCGACAGTGTCGGAACCCTCGAAGGCTGTGTGTGTGGACGTAGTTGGTACCGAGCGCAGATTCAGAGTAGACCTTGCCATCCCTGGGGTGGCTGCGAACTGCGGAACAATGTCCACTTTCGAAGGCGTTTGGGAATAGGGGGGGTGGCAAATTAGTGGGTACCTAACGCAGATTCAAATTAGATTTCGCTATTCCTGGGTTGGCTGCGAACTGCGGAACCGTTGCCACTTTCGAGGGTTGCTGAGGGGGGGGGGCAGCGTAGTGGGTGCCGAGCGCAGGGCCAGATTAGACCTCGCCATCCCTTGGGAGGGGTGGTGGTGGTGGTGGTGGTGCTGGTGCGAACTGCGAAACTGCTACCACTTTGGAAAGGCTTCTGGTAGGGCCAGATTCAGATTGGACCTCGCCATCCCTGCGTGGTTGCGAGCTGGGAAACTGTCTCCACCTTCGAGGGTTGCTGTGGAGGGGGGGTGCAGCACAGGGGGTACCGATCGCAGATTCAGACTAGACCTCGCCATCCCTGGGGGGCGGCGATCTGCGAAGCTGTCGCCACTTTCGAGGGCTGCTTCGGTGGCCAGCTTCGTGGGTAGCGGGCGCAGATTCAGATTAGACCTCGCCATCCGTGGGGGACTGCGATGTGCGAATCTGTCGCCAGGTTCGCCACTTTTCGGCCCCTCTTCCGTCGTTCTTCTGCCCCTCGTTCCCGCCCCCTTCCTCTCCGAACCTGGGGCCTCACTCTTCGTCTTTCTATTGTTGTCCTGTGAGTCGTGCAATGCGTGTGCACCCCATGTAGCTTGCACAAAAAATGACGGTTCCTTCGTTGTCATCATCTATACTAATTTGGGCCAGCTCGTTTTATCACTTGATGCGAACGGTTGGGTACGTTGCAGGGTCAGTTATTGAAGCGCCCCCCCCCCCAGAGTTTGCACCCTAAGTATCGTGCGGGTGTTTTTTTCTTGATGCTCAAATTTCGGTGTTGGTCCCTAAGAGCGTCCCTCGCTTGAGACGTTGTCGTATTTTTTCCTGGGGTTACGCTCTCGCTCGAGGCTTCTCTACAATCTACACGGAAATCGCGCTTTCGCTTGGGACGTCCAGGGCGATTTATCCAGGCGCTGCGCCCTCGACGCGGCACAGCAATCGCGTTCTCGCACGAGGCGTCTTCACAATCTGAGCAGGAGTCGTGCTCTCGCTTGTATAGGCTGTCACAACCTACGGAGCTCGATCCAAGGCTCCGCCGCCCGCTCGGGTCCGCCCGTTCGCCTGCACAGAGCACTTCATTACATCAGCCAGCTCGACACTGTCGAGCTATCCCGCTCGCATGGTGGACGGGGAAGTGTACGGGTGAGGAGGTCCGTAAGAGGAGGAGGAGGTGGAGGAGGAGGAAGATACGCAGGAGGGTGGGCTCGCGTCGGCCTCGAAAAGGTCGACGCTCCTCGCCGCTCTGCCCCCGCAGCCGCCCCAGACAGGTTAATCCTTCACCTGTGGACACTCTCAGCGCTGGGTCTGCTGCTGCTGCTGGTGCTGCTGCTGCTCATCATGGTCGTTCATTCTCTGCCTCCGTCCTATTCCTTTTTCCGCGCTGAGGCTTTTGAAAACCCACTGGGTGTCCCCTCGCCTTTCAGTGCTCCTTTGGCCGACCAGAGCGCAAGAGAAACGGCAACCGCGCTGATGGGGAAACACCAGGCATGATTGTGTTGGTGGACGTGGTATTCAACATGTATTTAAAAATATGGCTCGCGGGACACAGGGACCTGAAACATGAACAATGGTATGGCGTCAAGATGGGAACAACGTCGAAGTGTAGAACGGGGAAACACGCCCGCAGCGTTTCAAACATCATGTGTGTAGACGTACCGCGCGGAGTGAGTGCATGTGCGTGCGTCCATCATATTGCGTGCTGCGCTCAGGCCCTGGCGAATTGGACGCCGATCTGCCGTTGGCTCATGGACAACCTGCACGAGGCGTTCATGGTCGCTGCGCTCTCGTTCAAGCTCGTGATGGGCATCGCCGTGGCCACGGGGGGCCCGACAGCGAACCCGCCCCCGCCCACTGGCCTCTTGGACTTGCCCTCCCAACCTTCACACATGAGTCGGCCTCCCTCTGCGTTGCCCTGCTCTCTGGCTGCCCCCCGCTTCCCCGCACCCCTTCTTTTCCATCCCAGCTTGGACCCTCAGAGGTATCCTCTTCAAAGGGGCTGGTTTTCCATCCTGCGTTGTTTTTTGATTGGCCCAGGGCTTGTCAGGCGCCCCCGAGGGGCCGGAAATTCTCAGACTCTTCCATTTTTTTTGTTGTTGCTCGGCGCGCGGGGATTCGGGCCCCTTTTTTTCCGACGCGAGGGGGACTGTGCCGCTCTTTCCCCCTATTCCCCCTCCTTCCCAGGACCTGCTCATGTGGAAACCATGCTGGTTTTTATTGTTTATAGGTTTAGCATGATGTATGACCGTGGAAGGAACCCAGGGGAGAGAGGTCCGTGTGCACTGTCATCCGTTTTCGCACTTTGGCTCAAGGCCTAGAAGGCATCTGCCGCTGCTCCTGCTGCCACAGTTGGTAGCGGAGCGGTGTCGAGCCCCCGACTGGGTGTACTCCACGCGCGCCATGTGCCGGCGTGCTGGAGCGAGCGCTCAATAGCCTGGGGCCGCGCACCGCTCTGGAGAGCCGACGTGTGTGGAATCCACGGAAGTGACAGCGAACGACGACGCTATCGCAGTGCTGCCAGGGGCAGCCGGACAGCCGGCCGCAGTGGCCGGCGCAGCAGCAGCAGCACAAGGAGCTGAGCATCCAGCCGGGTCAGCAGCTGAAGCAGACGGGACGAAGGATCTTGTCAAATAAATACTTCGAGAAGTACTAGCGGAGAGGACTTCAGCTGCTTTTGACGCCCCTGGCCCAGCTGAGCCGCTCCCTGGGTACAAGACGATCCTTGGAAAAAGGGTCGCCCCGATGACAGCTGGTGGAAGAACGACTGGTCTCAAGAGTAGTACGGCGAAAAGTGGAAGACCGAGGACTGGGACGACCAGCTGCAGACGGTCCAGTGGCAGACTGGATGGTGGAGCTCTGGCGGCACGTTCGCCATGGGCGACTACTCGGACCCGCCGAACTGACCAGGATGGGCGAACAATCGGAACTGGAAGAGAGCAGTGATTCGGTGGAATCGTTACACAGACGTGCCGCTCGGGAAGCGGCGCGAGAAGTTTCTGAAGCTATTCGACTGGGGCATGCAGGAGAAATTCGAGGAGATCGAAGAGCAGGATATGGAGAGTGCCAGGTGGTTCGATCTCATGCTGTCCCGGCTCGATCGGATGATAGGATAACGCGAAGGTGACGACCTGAGGAACATCGGGCGCAGAGCGTTTCTCGAGAGAAACCGAGATGCGAAGGAGTCGGTGCAGGCATTCGTGGACCGACGGGAGCGTCAGTTTCGTGAAGCCGAAGGCAGCGCTATGGATATCGGACAAATTCAAGGGCTTCGTGATGGAATAAGGAGCTGCGCTGTCTGGCCAAGGCATGCAGAACCTCAGGACCCTGATGAGAGGAGATCTTCACTTCAAGGATGTGTGCTGGGCGCTCCGGCAGCTGGACTACTCCACATCTGAGAGGTTGCTCCCAGGCCGTGCGGGAGCTCACGTAGCCTTTCCTGCTGAAGGCTCAGCGGAGGCCGACGGCAATCCAGAGACTTCCCACTCCCCCCCTCTCTCCCAAACCTCGGGTCCAGGTCCGACAGGGCGAGAGCCAGATGATGAAGGCGACCAGGAGGAAAGCGACAGCGAGTCAGATGAGTTCACGGCTTACGATGTCGCGCTGGTGCTGGCTGAACTAGAGGAGCTGGACTTGGGCGAAGAGGGCGTGGCGACCCACCTGGCAGGCGTCAAGCGCAGTGCGTGGAAGGAGAACAAGGACCTGAAGCGAGCTTTGAAGCGAGACAGAGAGTTCTACGGGAGTGGTCGTGACCGCGTACCTGGAGCACGAGATCGACGACTGCCGCCCGCCGCCGGGGCGGCCCGCGGGGCAGGGCGCGGGCGGGGGCGACGACGTGGGCCGCCCCGGAGAGGAAAGCTCGCTGGACTACCGCTGGAGGAGGTGATTAAGGTCACCCGGTGCAGGATCTGCGACGGGAAGGGGCGCTGGTCCAGAGAGTGCCCGAAGAAGAACCTCAACGCCAAGAACGCGGACAAGCAGCTGGTATCTTATTCAATCTCCCACGGATGCGCCATCGCGCCCTCGACGGACCTGATCCTTACTTCGAAGGGCGTGCAAGAGCTTCTATGATGTGTGCTTGACCTCGCCTCCGACGCAGGGTCTGTCTGACGCAGAAGCTGGGCGCGATCTAGTGGGGTTGCCAGCGTTGAATCGGGGGGCAGCGGCGTTAGCGAAGATTGGTCTCTCCTACGTACTGATGCCACCGACAAAGAAGAAACCGCGTCCAGCCCATGGGGTCGGCGGAGCAGCTGAGACCATCGCTGCGATCGTGTTTCCCGTGGCCCTGGGCGGAGTCCTCGGGGTGATCGAGGCCGCGGCTCTGAAGGAGGACCTGCCCCGCATCATCTGCGTGGGCTTCCTGGGCTTCGCAGGGTGCGTGATCGACTTTTCTCGCGACGAGATGAAGTCGGACTTCCTCGAGGCGGAGCTGGAACTGAACGAGCTGGCGCTCGGGGCATCGCATGGCGGACGTCGTGGCGCCGCTTAAGGGGCGGGCCCGCGCGCCCAGCGGCGCGCTAACGGCTTGCCCTTTCTTGTCGGCCGGCTCGTTCTGCCGTGCTGCGGGGGGGCGCCCGCTAGCGATGGCCGGGGGCGGCTCGGTCCAGATTGTGCTGGCGACGTGCAGTCTCGCCTTCATCTCCATCTTCATCTGCGTCCTCATCGTGGCGTTTCCCAGGGGGCCTCGGGAGGCTCTCAGGAGTTGGGATCGGGGCCTTCTGGGGTGCGTTCGAGAGACTCAGACCCTCTCAGGATCCGAGGGGTCGCGATCCCAGGACGTCCGGGAAAATCGCCAATGCGCACCAGGAGGGGCCGAGTAAGGAGGACAGCGAGAGCCCGGGAGAAGAAGAACGAGATGCCACGAGGTTTGCGAGCAACGATATGAGTCGATCGGGGCCCCGGGAGGTCTGGGAGATGGTTCTGCTACCAGGCCCGAAATCGATCGACGACGGCGGGAGGTATCGATCGGGGAACGGCGAAGCTCATGGCCCCGGGTCGTCAAAGGGAAACGCAGGAACGCTGCCCGTGAGCATCTCGGCTCGAGCCCCCCAGGCGGTCGTCGACGACGCGCGCCTAGCCGAGAGCTTCGTTTCAGGGAGAGTTGCCGATCATGTGGATGTCCGCCAGTATCTTCTGGGTGCGTGCTTCTCTGAGCATCGCAGTCTCGTCCAAAGGGGGGTGCTCGAGTTCGGGGCGCGGGCTGCCGCCGATTCCAGTCGGGGCGCGTCAGCGCCCGGGGCCGAGTCCGAGCGGGGGCCGGCGGGGGCCTATTCCAGGGGCGCCCCATGCAGTTCAGATCGCGGTGGCGGAGGCGCAAGCGTAGCTAGCCGGCGCGGGGGAACTGCGAGCCCCGCCGCCCAGGCCGCCACCGACGACGGCGCCGTGCTCGGGCAGACCTCCTCCATCAGGGATCCGAAGACCGACTTCTGCGACGGCCAAGAACCCTCCACCGCTGCGCCCTGGGGCTGGAAGGTCGGATGCGCCCGATCAGCATCGCCCTGGAGGAGCCGTTGAGACGGGTTTCCAGGATGCGTCTCAGGAGGAACCAGTGAACCTCTGTCCGCACTACAATCTTCGATGCTATGGCAACCAACACTGGAAGGGAGCCGCGTGCGGAGACTGCGGGGTCAAGATCGCCTGGGTCAGGGGAGTTCAACCGCCCGATCCTGGAGATCCGCCTTCACGGGCCTCAACTGCCGCCGCCGCCTGAAGGGCGGCCGAGCGCGCGGGGGGGGCCGCCGACCATCGCTGGGAGTGCGACGCTTCAGGTGGTGAACGACGCGGGACAGCTGCAGACGGCAATCGCCCGTCAGCTGCAGGAGTTCCCGGAGGGAATGCAGGGGATTCAGGGGGTGCGCGAGTCGCTCGAGCGGATGTGCGAGCAGGTCGCGGCGCCCCAGGTCCATCCGGGCCAGACCGCCGAGGCCTGCCCGCAGATCCGCCAATGACTCACTCGCATCCGCCGGATGTTGGAAGGCACTCCGGAGCCCATGGGAGATGCTTTGGACCAGCTGAACCAGTCACGGGCCAGGTAGCCAACGTGGAGACCTCCGTGGGCCATTTGGGGCATCTGGTGGTGCATGTGGGAATCCAGGTGTCGGGGATATACAACTTGCTCAACGCAGGAATGTTTTCTCAGGCCGAAGGGTCATCGGCTTCGGGGGGCGGGGCCCAACAGACAGGCTGGGAAGTCGTGCCAAGGGCGCAGCCTCCTCCAGACAAGAGCGAGCTGAGTCAGGGGCTTGACGAGGTGCGAGAGCCGATCCGATCCATATTTCTACATATGCAGCGTTCTCGTGCCCGCCACCTCAGCCAGGGGTGAAGCAAGCGCCTTTCGAGCAGCACTGCCTTCTGGGGTTGTCGGGGTCCGAAGGGGTTCCTGAGGCAGCCGTGTGGCTGGGCGGCGACGCGTCCAACGACGATCGTGAGTTAGCTTTATCTCGTGCCGTGAAAAACAAGCTGTTGGAGTTCGCTTCTCGGGTGGGGCCACCGGCCCTGGGGTTGGGGTCAGGGAATTCAAGGGGGGCCCCCTAAAGAACCCGAATGGGCCGCACCGCCTTCCTAGAAGTGTTCTTGTCCCAGAATAGGACCAAAGCTTTCGACGAGGGGGCTTCCGTTCTGGGCGCGCGCGAGTTTTGGTCGGACTTTCGGCTGGGATTCTCGATGGCCGGATGCGATCCGTGAACTCTGGGGCGCGATGTATCAGGAGGAGCCGGAAGTCGCGTGGCTCAGCCCGGAGTGTGGAGCCTTCTCAGCCCTGAACAACATCAATCTTCTTCCGGATGTCTCGGGAGAAACGCGATCTGATGGCGTCGGAGGGAGTGGCGGCGCTTCTGCTCATTATGGGAATTGCTGTTTTCCAGGCCAGGCGCGGCAGATTCTTCGCATTCGAGCTTTTATACTTTGTTACCTCCTGGATGTCTGAGGTGGTAAGGCTGGGGGCTCAGCTGCCAGGGGCGCGCGAGCTCAGGATAGGCTCGTGCGCGTTTAACCTTCGGGCGCACAGCGACGGTCTCAGCGAGAAACCCATGGGCGTCCCGATAAACCACCCAGGGATTCAGAGGGCTCTGGGATGACACATTTACCTAGGAGGACGCAAACATGTGATGTTGGAGAACCAACTTCCTCGGTCATCGCAGGTGTGCCCCAAAAAATTTGCGAGGGCCGTGGCCCGAGCAATCCTTGAGACGCGGTTGCTGGACATGCACGAGAGCTCTGGAGCCCAGCCCTCCTTTTGATTATCCAGAGTCTTCCGCGAGTGAGGACCTGGGAGAGGGAGATTCAGGATCCGATCTCGATGAGCCAGAAACCAGGCCAGCGCGGCGGCCTCGCGGAAGCCGGTCGGGAGCAGGGTCAGATGTCACCGAATCCAAGCGTCGCCTGGTGGCTATGCTTCACATAAATATGGGTCACCCCGACAGAAAATTCATCTGGGTCCTCCGAGCAGGTGGGACCAAGTCGGGGTGCATTCGGGTCTCCTTCCGCCGTCCAGAGTGCGCTGAAAGACAGAGACCCGACCATCTTCGGAATTTGGCGCTTCCTCGAACTGTTCGTTTCAACCAAATACCAGTTGTGGATCTATTCTACATCTGGTTCGCCGAGGCGCTGCGCCCTGTCCTGAATATCGTCGACCACGGGTCGAATCTGCAGATGTGTGTGAGTCTGCCAGATGGCAAAGCAGCAACAGTATGGCACGGATTTGTCGCCTCTTAGATTAGACCGTTTGGGCCCCCGCACCTGATGATCACCGACGGGGGTCCCGGGTTCCATGGCCGATTTTATCGAGGCTTAGCACTGTGGGGTCCTGCGTCATGTCGCGGGCGCCAGCGGTCCGTGGCAGAACGGAGTAGCCGAGAGACATGGGGGGTGGATAAAGTCCGTCCCCAGGGGGAAATCGATTCTGGCTCGGACCTGCTCTCCGTCCTCGACGAATTCGATTCTCTCTTGAGCGAGCTGGCAGCCCGCCAAAACAGTTTTTGGCACTGGGAGGGTTTCTCACCAAGGCAACTTGTGTTCGGGTGCAATCCGCGCCTTTCACGCGAGCTGCTGCTGGGCGACGGTCTAGGACTGCCGGGGTGGCAGGAAGTGCTGAAATCGCACTCGGAGCGGGATGCGGCCGGGGCCGAGTTCGCTAGATCTCAGCGCGCGTGAGATCGAGCGCGCCGGCTGGCTATGGAAACTACGGCCCGGGACCGCGTCCAGAAGGCGATCAGGACAAAGGGACCTCCAGTGAAAAGCTTCGCTCCTGGGCAGTGGGTTCTCGCGTGGAGACGCCTGGCCAGGGCCACTTCCAGGTCGGAACCCGTCGGGGTCCGTCGCGACGCCTGGGCCGGCCCAGGGGTTGTGATCCTCCAGGAGGGCGGCGCTGTTTTGGTCGCTATGCGATCAAGGCTTTGGGAGCGTTCCACGGGCCAGGTCAGGCCGGCTTCCGCCGAAGAAGAATGCGGCTTGCAGCTAGCCCAGGGCCCGCAGTGGGCGGAGTTGATGGCGTTGGCCAGACAGGGGAGAGCTGCGGCGATAGACGTTCAACGGGAGGGGCCACTCCCTGATGAAGCCTACGATCGCCCTGACCGCGCGGTGGGGGACTTCCAGCCCACTGGGGTGGTTTGGACGAAGCGCCAGCAACCGGGCGACGTGTCGGGCTGCATCCAACGAGCCCGGGCCGAGGCGAGGTCCGCCGCAGTCAGCCGCGAGGGAGGCGAGCTCTCGGAATCCTCGGGCGCCGAGCGCCCCCGGATCGAGCCGCCACCTGGGTTGCCTGTCCCTGATCCTGCTGCAGCCCAATCTCTAGGATCCAGCTCCAGCTCTGCCCCCTAGCAGGGAGTCCAGGGATTCCCCAGGGGACCTGCGGGACAAAGCCTTGAGGAACGTCGCCTGGTGTCTGAGCGCGTGCAAGGGATCGAGGAGAGATTGGGCCGATCCCTGGACAGGCAGTTAGGTCGCGAGCGATCTCCACGCAGGGGATATGCCGACCTGACTTCTTTCTGGGCTGTTCTGGATGCCAGCGGAGCCGCGTGTCTCGAGGAGGTCCAGGGGTCCGAGGAGGTTTTCGCCGCGGGCCGCGGGGGAGGAATCACCTTGTCAAAGCTCGCGCCTTCCGAGAGTGCGAAGCTTGATATTTCAGACGCCTCTGAGTGGAACGACGTGGCGGGTTCCGGGGCCGCCAGAATCATGCCCCCCTCCCTTGTCAAGAAGATTCGGAAGATGATCCCAGAGAGGATCGCGTCATCCAGGATGGCCAGAGGATGAAGCCGCAGGCAGGAACCTTCGCAGAGCCCACTGCGAAATCTCGATGGTGTATCCATGGCCATCAGGACCCGGACACTGGCTCGTTGACGGTATTACCCCCGCCCCACGAACAACGTCAATGATGTTGTTCATGCAAGTGATGATGAGTTTCGACATGTTGGGATATCGCTGACGTGAAGAACGCATTTACTCAGTCCGACCCTATGCGACGATCGAATGGTCCTCTATATGTAGAACCGTGTCACGGAGTGGAGGTCAATGGGGGGTCCCGCATCGTGTTGTTGGTGCGTGTGCGGTCTAGACGATGCCCCAGTATCGTGGAGACGCACGGTGGCGAATTTCCTTACCGAGAGGGGGCGCCGTCGTTGCCTGCTGGGGCCCTGCTGGTGGACCCAGCGACAAAGAGGCAGCGATCGAGAACGTGATACTGAAAGAAGTGGAGGTTTTTTCTCATCGCATCCATGTGCGCCGATGCCAGGACCGCCACCAGAAAAATGCTCGGATCTCGTTTCCGGTATGGAGAATATCGCGACCTCCAGGCCGGGCCAGTGGACTGTGCCAGACGCCGACTGACTGACGGCCCTTCGAGACTTATCGTGGGCCAAGAGAAATACATCATAGAAGCGCTGCGACCTCTGAGGCTCTCTCCAGGAAGACTGCCCTCGGAGCTTCGGCGTTCAAAAGCTTGCGGTCCCTGATCTGCGCGATCTTTTCGGTGCGGCGGGAGACTCGACCCGAAGGGGCCGGGGTCGCGTCGATCCTGGCGAGCCGTCTGGAAAGTCCGATTTCTTGGAACGTGATGTGTGCCAACAAGTTGGCTCGTCATTTGCAATCCACCGCCTCCAGGGGCCTCTCGATCTGGCGTCTGGGCCCAGCTCGGATTACCCTCTTGACCTTCTCGGGCGCGGGGGGCGTCGGGGCCAGCGGGGGCCTCCAGGACTCCAGGGGGCTCCCCGAGGACCCGACCGAAGGGGCCTGGATGGTTCTCGCCGCGGACCGTCAGGTGCTAGACAACTAGGCGGTCCGGACCTCTCTGCTGGGGTGGAGGTCAAAGTTTCGTCGCCGTATCCCTTCGACTCTCTCCAGGGAAGCTCTTGCACTCGCCTCGGCAGTGGTCGACGCTGAAAGTGTGTGCGACACGCTAGTTTCAGACGGTCTGGCCACTGCCAAAGACCGTCGCACCGCCCTGGACCTGGCAATGGTATGTGATTATTTGGAAACGTCTTCGGGAGTATTACGATATATACTACGCACTAAGATGCCCGTTGACCCATTGACCAAGGATGACATAACCAAAGTGAGCGCGGTTTGTTTCATTTGATGGCCTCCGGAAAGCTTCTGCTGGTCGACGAGGCCAACGAGCTAGTCGACAGACGTGTCGAGCCGAAGAGCAAGGGTCGTTCTCAAGCCGCCTCCGCTAGGGTCATCTGCTCGGGCTAAGGAAGAGATATCGTAAACCTCCTTCGTCGAACGTGAGGGTGTCTCCTCGTCGGGCCCGGGAACCCACTAATGCCTTTCCTCACTCCTCTCCTCCTCTCTTGTACGCCGTAATTTGCTTTGCCCGTGCTGTTCCAGTCTTGTCGCGCCAGAGGTGGAGCTACCTACCTCTGACCTGCGGAAGAGAGCAGAGTGAGGAAACTGCGTTCACGGGACGTTTTAGCCTGCTAAACCTATGAGAGAATTTGACTTGTGTAAAAACCATGCTGGTTTTATTGTTTATAGGTTTAGCATGATGTAGGACCGTGCAAGGAACCCCGGGGAACGTGGTCCGTGTGCATTCTCATCCGTTTTAGCAGGTTGGCCCAAGGCCTAAAAACATCTACCGCTGCTCCTGCTGCCACATTCAAGCAAAACGAGATAATTTGAGCAGGAGGCTGCCAGACGGCCGTGAACCTGGCATTCGGCGTGTTCTTTCGGCAAGGAACAACAAGTGATATAACCATGCACGTTTTGAATTCTCTGCGGATTTCTTGGGTCGGAGGATGATGACGGTGGTGGTGGTGGTAAGTATGAAGATGACGACGACGATGACGATGACGATGAGGAGGAGGAGGAGGAGGAGGAGGAGGAGGAGGAGGAGGAGGAGGAGGAGGAGGAGGAGGAGGAGGAGGAGGAGGAGGAGGAGGAGGAGGAGGAGGAGGAGGAGGAGGAGGAGGAGGAGGAAGAGTAGGAGGAGGAGGAGGAGGAAAAGGAGGTGGGGGAAAATATGGAAGGCTAGCGGGATGGCGGGCGCCCGGCCCCGTTCGGACAGAGCAACCCCGGCGGCAAGCGGGGGGGCACCAAGCTGAAGTTTATCCACGTGAGCGTCTATCTCATCAGTCAGGATGACGTTCTTACACTTTTCCCCCCTGCAGATCGGGGTGATCAACGCGGTGTTCATGCAGGAGACGTTCAAGGTTGCAAACACAGATGACGAGATCATGGTCAGGACGCGCTCCCTCCCTCATCCGTCTCTCTTCAAACTTGCCCTTTGTCCCCTCGGATTTTCGGATGTCCGCGTCAGGTCCTGCTCTTGTTCCTGCTCCGCCCGCTCCTGGTCCTGCTGCTGCCAAGCTTCTCCTGGCCCTCCTGCTGCGAGCAAGTCCTCATCCTCCCGCTGCCGCTCTCCTCTCATTCTCCGCCTCCTCCTTCGGCCCCTTAATTGCCTCTCTTCGCTGCTTCCTCCTCCTCCTGGTCCCCCCCCCGTCCCCCCCCATGTCTCCCAGAGCACTCTTGAATTTTCCAGAGGTACCCGGAGGATTCTGGCGCCCTCTCCAACAAGGGCCCAAAAGTGGTAGAAGCCTTGATCTCTTCGATCCTCTCCATCTCCTCGATTTCCTCGATCTCATTGAACTCGTCGATGTCCTCGATCGTCCTAATCCCCGCCCCCTCCCAGAGGATGAAGATGAGGGCCGCCAGGCAGCACAAAGACAAGATGGAGGCCCGTCGGGCGGTGCCCGTCGAGCACTTGTAGCTCCCCTCCCCTCTGCCTCGTCAGGCGAAGCTCCAGCCCCGAAGGAGGACCCTCAGATCCCAGCGACGCACAAACACCGTGACGGCCAGGTTTGCGTTTTCGGCTTCTGGAGGCCGTTTCCCGGCCCTCGGGTTCGTGAAAGGAACAGCTCTGGATGAAACGCCGGACAGGGGGAAGAGGTCGAGGTCCCCAGGGGTGCCCACGTCGCAAACAAGAATGCAAAGTTGGAGGATCAGGGGGAGGCTGCTGGGAGTTGATAAAGCCCTCGCCCCAGCGAGTCCGCTCTTGCGGCCCCTTTTTGGCTTGTCGGGGCTGTGCTGTGGCCGCCATCTCAGCCCCCGCAGGGTTCGGTCCCCAGGTCGTCTTGTTCTACCAATGGGGTTCTATCCCTCCCAGAGGCTGGGGGTCATAGGAGAAAAAACCATGAGGCGCTGGTGGCAGCCCACTTGACGAGGTGCCGCTTGCACCTTGCACTCTGTGTGCCTGGCCCGCGCGATGCAAAACGACTGGGATTAGAGCGGGCTAACCTGATCCCTGACGTCTCGTGCATCCCCATCCAGCCCATGGAGAAACGACGCCAAGGCGTCTTGTTGGGAGAATGCGGAAAGGGATCGTCTTATGCTACCTCGTGCCGTCTTGAAGGCTATCTAGGGCTACCTGTGGTCATCTTTGAAACATCTGGGTCCTTGGATGCTACTATGGAGCGCGCCCCTTCCCGTCGAGACCCAAAGTGGGGGGCAGGACCTGCTTCTGATGATGATGGTGGCGGTGTTGATCATGGCATGGATGGTAGTATGGTGATCAAGGGCGAAGATGAGAAGCATGACGAGCATGATGATGAGCCCCGCCCGACCGAGAACCTCTTCCGCCACTGCGACAAGGACGGCAGCGGGCGGATCCAGAGAGAGGAGTTCCGCGAGATCATGGAGGCCCAAGTCGCCGCCGGGGGGGGGGGGGGGAGGGCATCGGGCCTCCGTGCGCTGCTCAAGGGCAACGCTAGGGGGGGGGGATGCGGTCAGGAACGTTTGCTTAAAGAGCGTGCTGCGCCGCTGGTTCCGACCCACGATTCGGCGCGACACGCAAACCATGCCCTCGGCCCCCGAGCATCGACGATCCGAGCCTTCCCCAGCCTCCCAGTCCGCGGAGCGGAGCGACAACACGCTGTCTGCTTGCAGGGGGTGGCCGTCACGACACGCTACGCAAACGTTCTCGACTGTAGGCTCAGGGGGGAGTACATCGTTGCCCACTCGCCGATTCGTCGCCGTTAAGGGCCTGATAGCCCAGCCCGCCCAGGAGCGTGAGTTTGTTGTTGTTGTTGTTGTTGTTGTTGTTGTTGTTGTTGTTGTTGTTGTTGTTGCTGCTATCGGGGGCCTGTCGCCGATCTGTCGGCGACGCATCGCCGATTCCAGCTCGATGTTTCCCCCTGAGCTGGTCCCCCCCTATCGCTTCTCTCAGCTGCCAGCTCGGAGTGGAATTTCGTTGTGAGGTTCACCAAGCCGGCCACGCGAAAATCAATCGAGTGCTCGCCGCCCAGAAACGATGCGAAGGTACGGGCGAGTCAAGCGTAACATGCAGCCTCTCCTTCCTCTCCTCTCCTCTTCCCCGTACCTTTGAAGGCGAGGTCGTCCTTACCTTGCGGACCTGAGGGCAAGATCACGCAGTGCCTGATTGCAGATAAGTTCCCTTGCCTGAACGTTGGTTGTGGAGGAGAACGAGGAAGGTGACTAGAGCGATTCGGAGAGTGGCATTTGAGAAGGAGGGGGAGGAGGATTTTATGAGGAGGAGCGGGGGTCGAGAATTGGCAGGCCGTGAGGATGATGATGATGATGATGATGATGGTGATGATGATGATGATTATGATGATGTTGTTACTGATGATACTGCTGATGATGGTGATGATGATGCTGGTGCTGGTGGTGATGACGATGACGATGACGATGACGACGACGATGAAGATGATGATGGCGATGATGATGATGATGATGGTGATGATGATGGTGATGATGATGATGATGATTGTGGTGCTGGTGCTGGTGGTGGTGATGATAGTGAAGACTGTCGATTCTGATGGTGCCGATGACGGATTTGGCAACTCTGATGCTGATTATGGCGTTGTTGATGCTGGTGGTGGTGGTGACGATGACGAGGATGATGACGACGACAATGTTGCTGAGTATGATGATAATGCTGATGCTGCTGATGATGATGATGCTGGTTATGGCGTTGTTGATGCTGGTGGTGGTGACGATGACGACGCCGATGACGACGACAATGTTGCTGAGTATGATGATGATGATGCTGATGCTGCTGATGATGATGCTGATTATGCTGGTGATGCTGCTGCTAAGGATGTGATGATGATGGTGATGACGATGCTGCTGATGATGATGCTGATGATGATGCTGATGCTCATGATGATGCTGATGATGCTGATCAGGATGAGGGAAATGATGGTGATGATGATGATGCTGATGATGGTCATGATGATGCTGCTGCTGATGATGCTAGTGATAACGATGATGTTGTTGATGATGATGCTGATGATGATGATGATGATGATGATGATGATGATGATGATGAGGATGACGACGATGATTATAGTGTGCGGGGTGATTGTGGTGTTTGTGATGGTGATGGTGATGTTGTCGCTTACGACTGAGTGGCTGGCTGCGTTGTAGATAATCCTGTGGCATGACACACGATTGTCTTGCTGCTATGCCACGGTCGCGGCAGAACTCTCGGATTCGGCGCAAGGACGCCGAGTCAAGGCGAACAGACAAAGTGAAGCACTTGCTGAATGCTGCTTATGACTGCGGCTCTGGCGGCCAGAGTGCGCGTTTTCTGGTTTCCCCGCGGGCCACTGCTTCCTTGTCATCCGCCTCTGCTTTTCGTCAGCGGCTCGGACCGCATCAGCTGGCAGTCTGGGGATCTTGCCCGCTTTCATCTGCGCCCGGCTCCACTGCGAGGAGTACTGCAGGTGGTGCAAGGCTCGCGCACGGGTGACATATTCGAACCTGCATGCTGGACAGCGCGAGCCTCCTATATACCAGCGTGCATCCATGCACACGGCTTGCGCAAGTTGCCTGTGGGCCGCCAGCTCTGGTGAGGCCCTGCAGCCGCGCCCGCACTCAGAGCAATCAACTACATTAAACTGAATAGCGTCGTTTGGGGAGCGCTCTGGCTGCTTACCCCGAAGCCGGCAGCGACCAGGGTCAAGAGCACATCTTGGGATCCACAACCAGAACTCTCGGGACAGGCGGCGCCAAAGCTGCAATTGAGCACAAATAAACTGTTCCCACATCTCTGGCGATTCGACCGGACCACCTAGCTGGGCCAGGTGCGCGGGAAAAGCTTTCGCCATGTGGCTGAGGTCGGCGAGCAATTGTCTTGCTGACGGGGGCTTCGGCCAGGCTGCAAAGAGCGCCTTCATTACCAGAGGCAATGCCCTTAGCAGCGATGGACGTGAGTCCGAGCGCCTCGCTCAGCTCAACTGCGGCAGCCCTGGGGCATCGAGGTCAGCTCGCACTTGTTCATCTGTGGCGGTGCCGTCGCGCCCGTACCTCATCTGCCCAGCGATGCGGCGGAGCACACGGTGGTACTGATATGAGACAAGCTGCATGACACGTTCGTCAGTGCCTCTCCAAGCTGCGACTCCGAAGTGGCTCTTGGAGAAGATGAGGCTGGGTGGCGAGCTGTACTCGCGCTGGTACGGATATGGAGGTGGTGCCAAAGATAGGGATG